GAGAGAGAGAGAGAGTAGATGGGGAGGAGGCAAGATGAAAGACGGAGCGTATATACGAGATAAAGTGGTCTCGTGAAACGTTACGAAACAACGTGGGTAGCGTCGGTAGAAAATGGCGTGGGCCGCGACTGTCCGAGACCAGGTGGAACGTGTTTGTACAAGATACGGACTGATAAGCCATCAGCCGAGGCTCAACGGGACGGGTTCAAGCATAGCCGTGATCATTGGGTAAAGCCATCAGGGAAAGTGCATTTATTACACGCGGAGATTCGCGGCTTCTCTCGAAACTTGAGCAACTTGAGCTGCACATCAATTTTTCATTTCGGCATTAAAAAGTCATTATCTTCCGTTTTTTCCTTTTATCCGGAAAACGATATGAATATAATTACGAGTTTAGTTGAACGTGATAAAGCGTGTATCTTTACTGCCTTGAGGGTGATGTGTCAAACATCATTATATTACGATAACGCTTATATTACGAGTCCTCAATATTTAATTGGGATTTAATGGTACCAGATTGCCGTCCGACAGGCATAAATAGTTTTAAGATCTAAATCTAGTCTACAATTTTACAAATGCGATTTTATACGTGCGAGTTTGCTTGAGAAATTAAATTATTCATAGGCCAAGGCTTATGCACTGGCGGGTTCCGATACGTGAGTCGAAAAAGATCGTGAGCTCTTACGATTCGTTCCAACCACGAGTCAAATAAATCGTAAATCTCGTGACGAGGAGAATACGAGGAGAATACGCTTTCATTGTATACTTCAAAGAAGGGCGCATCGCGCCGTTACCGGAAATAATCGATGATGGCTCACGCAAAATGGGAAAGGATATTTAAGGCGGCTCCACAGATAGGCAAATCAACATTAGACCGGGCGAATTATCTCGCGTCGCAAAAAGTCCGCTGGACAATGAACACTTCGCAGAGTGGATTCGAGAAGGAACGAGAAATGAAGAATGAGAGACGCGAATGGACCGAGTAACGCAACAAGAGCAAATCGATCGTTTAGCTCGGGATTCGGGAAGCGGATTACTGTTGGAGTAATAATAACGACCGAGACGCTGGATATGCGTGCGCGCGCGCGTGCGTGCGTGCGTGCGTGCGTGCGTGCGTGCGTGCGTACACGCGACGCACGCGTCGAGAGGATGACCGCTCGTGATGACTTCTGAACTACGCGGTCCACTTTCCCTCAGTACAGACGCACGAGAAAGTCAACGTCATCATGAGCGAAGAAACGAGTTCTCCTCACGAGAGAGGTATCAAAATTGAATCGAGGATTATATAAAATAAGAAAAAATGTATCATAGACATTAATATACAGGAGGTTCCAAAAGTGGAGGTCAATCGCTTTGGATGTGATTGAATTGAATCCAAAAGTGAGAAAAAAATTGATATAAACAGTCCGGAAATGCATCATTTTCGAATTATTGTCATTTTTATATTGAAATTTCAAATTGCTTTGCTTTCGAATTTTTTGTCAAAATTAAAAAGAAGAGATGGAGTTTTATAACATAGTTAAAGTCAAATAAAAGTTGCGGGCTGCTTTAAGTACCCAGGGTGCATCAGGTACAGCCCATTTAACTTCCTTGACAGAGATCAGGATTTCACAATTGTCTGTAACTTTTATTTGACTTTAATTATGTTATAAAACTCATGAGGATCATCTTCTTCTTACAATTTGGACAAGAAATTCGAAGGCAAAACAATTTGAAATTTCCATATAAAAATGGCGATAACTCGAAAGCGATGATCGAGTCCCCAATCATCTTTCGAGCGACTGACTTTTATCTTTGAAATATCCTGTATAAAAGAAACAAAGAATTTCTCGACATATATATTCTCGACAATACTATATTTTTTTAGAAATATTTGTTTCACGAAAGATTTTTTTTTATATAAAGATCGTTCCTCGTTACGTCGGATATCGTTGCGTAGAAGATATCCGATGAAAGAGAAGACGAAGCGTAACGAGAACGGAAGAAAGAAGTGGTTCCCGTTGATTGTGTAAAAATTGAAAAAAGGCGAAAACAGCGGAGGCAGCGAGGAGAAGTGCCTGTACACCGAGAGTCGAGCGGGACAAAGAAACCTGTTGTTTACGAACTACCCGCGTCTCGTACGCATCAGCTGTAAATTACCACGTGTCCGAGCGTAATGCTCGCTTTTACTATTCCAAGACGGCGGAATGCCCGAAGTCTTCGGCATCATCGTGCGAGAACGAGCATGGAGAATGCGCTCGGAAATAGCGTAGGAATACGAACTGGACGGTAATTCAGAAAAACGGACGAGACGTAGCGATCTTTTGAAAATCGACTCTCGCGCAGCGAGTGTGCAAAGTGGACTTTATCGAGAAATTTATTCAAATCTCTAAAAAGAAAAATAAGAAATAACCAAGGATTTTGTCATGCATTTTTCACGCGTTCCCTTGCAATTAAAAATCTAATGTGCGATCTCTCTCTCTCTCTCTCTCTCTCTCTCTCTCTCTCTCTCAAGCATCTATAGATAATCCATTCTCGTTCTTCGTTCTCTACGCGTGCCCGAACGGAAAGAGTGTACACGCGCGTGTCCGAGCGTGCTTCGGTGTCACCTCTCCTTTATTCGCGATCAGCGAGGGCATCGTGTATGTGGGTATATGGTGTGTGTGTGTGTGTGTGTGTGTG